AGAATGTTTCCTAACCTTGAAGGTAAACTGCTTCTTTGACTAGTTTCTTCCCTAGAAGAATAGACTATTTGGGTTGAAAACAATTGCCTACCCACTGAATTCTGCACACTCATTTTTATGGATCAAGACACCGACATGTTAGGTACCAGAGTTTTAGTCAGACTCAGCCTTTCAAACAGCAATGTACACCTCTGTGTTTTGCCTTAACCCACCTGAGAAATGACCTTTCCTCACAGCCCTCAGCAACACTCCCTACATGAGCTCTGGGTTTGTGCAGTTCCTTGCTTTTTAATTCTGAGGCTGTCCTTACTACTTGAAATTTAAAGACTGATAAAGCATGAATAACCTTTATCTTTTTACTTAGCAAGACAAATGTAACCCATACAATTGGTCCTCAGCTGTTAACCAAAAGGATGTCGATTTGAACCTCCCCATGGGCACTACAGAACAACAGCTTGGTGATCTTTGTAAAAAATGATTTGTTTCTGTTGCTGTTGTTAGGGACATAGAGTCAGAATGAATCCATAGCTGACCTCCAGCTCGTTTTCAGAGGTGATCGGTCACACAGGAGGACCTGTCTTGCATCCGCGATCTATAAAGAATATAAAGAAAACTCTGGAAAGCAGTTCTTGCCCATAATATAGGCAGACACTCTGAGTCAGAATTAACAGAGAAGAGACTAATTTTCTTTTAAGCAAATGAGCACTCAGATCTGTTCCAGTGTTTTATAATACTGAATTTTAAAATTAGGAGCATTTAGTGAGGTCTGAATTTTCCACAGTAACTAGATGCAGAATATAGCGTGAGTCCTTGGTGAGTAAGGAGTTGTGCTGTTGACCCAAAGGCAGGTAGTTCAAGTCAGCAACTTGCTCCACAGGAGTAAGATGGGCAGTCTCCTCCTGTGGGACTCACAGCCTCTGAAGACTCATTGAAGGGTCATTTACGAGTCGATTCCAGCTCCACAGCAGTGAGTTGCTGGAGCCAGCCTTTTCTCTCCTGTTCAGTTACTCCTCTCTGTGAAGGACGGAAGCAATATGAAAGGGAGACAGTTTGTTCTGGAGGGATGCTGCCTAGAGAATGCACTGGTGTTCCTCTCCGTTGTACACTGAGAAATGAATCGTTGGTTTCTGGACCTTCTCAGAGCCCAGTGTTAGCAGCAGATTGGGAGCACAGCGTGACCCATAGTGAAAGGGGTTTCTGGCTGTAGAGAAGAGGGCCATGTGCAGCTCTGGGACTCTAACCAGTGGAAATTTCATGATAATTACAATCCATCATTCATAAGAGCATCTGTCTTTGATAACAGTAAACTGAGAAAAACATAGAAAATATGTCCATCTACAATGCTCTGGTGTGCCATGTTGAAATGGGCAACAGCTAATGCTTAGCTCCTTGTTGCTAGTGACTGCTGGTGACCTTGTTACAACATAGCTGAACATTGTCTGGATGTGAACCAATGTCCAGTTTTGCTGCCACTGTGTGTGTTGAGTGGCCCCCAGCCTATAGGATTTACCTTGCATGGTATTGAACAGTGTGCTGGTGTGATCAATAGAATTTACCATTGGCTAATTTTAAGTACGCCAGGGATGTGTCCTATCTCCATACCTTGTCAGTCTATATGCAGAACAGATTATCCAGAAGGCAGGGCTGTATGAGGAGAAGTGTGGCATTAGGATTGGAGGAAGACTCATCAACAATCTGTCTTATGCAGATGACACAGCCCTGCTTGCTGAAACTGGGAGGACCTGAAACACTTGCTACAGAAGGTCACAGACTGCAGCCTTTATTATGGATTGAAGCTCAACATTAAGAAAACACAGATTCTCACCACTAGGCCAATTGGCAGCATCGTGATAGAGAAAGAGATTGAGATTATTAACAGTTTTAGTTTGCTTGGCTCCACAATCAACACTTTTGGCACCAGCAGCCAGGAAAGTAAGAGACTAATTGCACTGGAAAAGTCTGCTTTCAGAAACCTCTGCAGAGTACTGAAGAGCAACAATGTCATTCTGAAGACTAAGGTGCAACTGATCCAGGCCTTAGTCTTTGCAGTTACTTGCTATGCATCAGAAAGCTGGAAAATAACTAGAGATGATAGAAGGAGAATTGATGCCTTGGAGCTGTAGTGCTGGAGTAGAGTATTGAATATACCGTGGACTGCCAGGAGAACAAACAGATTCCTCCTACAGAGGGTGAGGTCAGGATGCTTCTTGGAGGCAAGGATTCTGAAGCTTCGTCTGACACGCTTCGGACAGGCAACAAGGAGGGACCAGTCCTTGGAGAGGGGCATCATGATTGGAAGGGTGAAAGGACAACGCAAGAGAGGAAGACCCTCGATGAAATGGATTGATTCCTTGACTGGGGCAATGGGGGGTAGGTGTGTCAGAGACAGTAAGATGGGCACAGGATAGAGCAGAGTTTAGGGATGTTGTACATAGGGTCACTATGAGACGCAGATGACTCAACAGCACATAACACTAACAAATTTTAAGTAGTAGCTCACCAAGCCTTTTGTAGTCTGTTCAACTCGCCCAGAATCTATGCCCCGTGGATTACCGTGCTGGAGTTTGAAAATACAAATGACATAGCTTCCAGCATTGGAACAATATTAATACCACTCTGGTGTGGCAAGCAAGTGATAGGAAGGCTTAGGGCCTTGGAACCGTATCATTTTAGAGCTGGGCAAGCCCGCAGGAATCTAGTCCAAGAACCTCCTTACCTGACTCCTGAAGAGTCAGATCCCAGGAATAAGGAAGCATGTAGTGTTGCCTACCTGCTACAGATCAGCTTTGGTGTTTCAGAAGTGCTGGGGGTGGATGCCAACCCTGTGGTCCCCAGAGGCATTTGGTGGGGAGCTTTCCACCACCCTTTAGGTGACACAAGGCTTGTTCTGCTCTTACAGAGGCGCACAGGGCTGCCTCTCTCCACCCAGGCTCTGTCCCTCCTTCCCCACTCCTGGGCCCCTGGGTGGAGGGAATAAAGTTGTCATCCCAGCAAAGCCAGGCTCATCCCTGTAGGCACTCATGGTGGTGGACCTGTGCACAAGCCGGAGCAGACACTGTGACTCCTTAGAGAAATCTGGGATCTCCTGTCATCTTACTCAAAATAATGTTTTTTGGAAAATATTATTTAATCTTAATAAGAGGGGGTTGTTGTAAACAGAATTGAATTATCAAAATAGAACTGCATGATTAGTGGAAACTGTGATGTAGAAATTGCTTTGGGCTCCTCAGATCTTAAATGTGAATATGGTTTTATTAGAACAAAGCCCTTTACCAGAATGGTCCCTCACAAAACAATGGCTTGCATTTAGAGACTAAATGTTCCAGAAGATGGAAAGAGGTATCAGACCTTCTTTTTGCATTGGCTTCTTATCAGTAGCCACTTCATTTTCTTACCTGGGGAGTAAATTCTAGTATTAGCATCTTACTCACTTTGCCAATTATTTGGTATGTTAGTTACATTTAATGACTGGTGACCTGGTGGGTGGGGAGTTACACTGCCAACCCAAAGACAAGTGGTTCTGATCTATCAACTGTTCCACAGAAGAACTATGGGCAGTCTCCTCCTGTGTGATTTCCAGCCTTTTAAAACCCAGTGGTAGGTCAACCAGGAGTCATTTCCTGCTCAATGCCAATGTATTGGGATTTTTAAAAAATTATTTGGTATTCCTAATTATAATAAAAAATGCCAGTAAAGTCATTAACTAGTGGCTTTGGAATGTTAACATGGTTGTAAATGTTTTCTGTTAGCAGAATTGGCCTTAGAGTTGCCCTAAAGAGAAATTAAATGCTACATTATGTCATATATTAAACAGAATGACTTCGCAATAGCTTTTGTACTGGGAATATTGATAAGTGTTAAATTCTCGCGCGTGCGTGTGTGTGTGTGTGTGTGTTAGAGACAAGTTCAGAAGTTTCAGTCTTTAAAATGCTTTACTATAATACAAGTTTTTAAGAAGGTAAAGTATTTTTTTTTTTGAAGGTAAAGTATTTGTATATGATTGACATATTGAGTTTTTTTTTGCCCTAAATACTACAGGAGATATAGACACCACAAAAGAAACTTTTGATTGCTGCTTATTATGTGTGGAAAAATTACGATGTGTAATTATAATCATGTTACCTGTTGTCATAGTTAATCTACAGGTGTGTCTAGATTTAAAGGAGAGAGCATTTACAAATAGTTGGCCAAAAGATAATGAAAGCATGTTGGGATTCTTTTTAACTTTTTGTCATTTCTACCAATCCTGTTCTTTGTCTGCTTTTCAGGTTCTAAAGAGTTAAAGAAGTCATGATTCTGAATATTATTGTAGCTGTGTAGTAGAGTGGGGAGTTTTGCTTCGTTGCAAACAGACATGACTACAGTAGTGTAAACTAAAGCCGGAAAGGGCAGTGTTTAGTGACCTAGGGCTGGGGTTTGCTAAACCTTCACCTGTGAATCTTCTAGAATACGGAATGCTAACAGAACATGTCTAAAGGCAGGTCTCACCAATAGTGAGGCAGCCGGGAGCGTTCATGCGTGGGAGGAATCTGTCCTTGAATTCTTCAAAAGGCTGCATCCCTTGCTGTGCTGTTGGACTCAGGCCTGGATGCGCAGCCCAGCCGTCCCTGGATATCTGGAAGCCACTGCCCGGGACTCCTTCAGCCTCTGCCTTCTAGGGCCGGAGCTCTGGGCGGCCTGCAGCCAGAGGCGGAGGAGCAGCGGGGCTCTGTTGCTATAGCTGTGATGTCATCTGCCGGTCCTAACCCGTGGTTGGTTGTTTTGTGTTTCAGCTCCCTGCCTGCAGTTGAACACAAAGACCTGGAGGAGACTCCCACATCCTTCAACAAGAAGAAAGGAGGCAGTGAAGCAGATTAAAGGAACTTGTGGCTTGTGGCCTTTTCTGTGCAGAGGCTACCTCGCCAGGGAGAATAGCAAATCAAAGCCACCTTGGCTGTGGATGAGCTGTGAGATGAGGCCCTGCTGCTGCTGACACTCAGACCCCGGGATCCTTGGCCACCCTTTGTGCTTCATGCACATGTGTCTATTCCAGCCCTCCGGAGGCGCCCAGAGGAGACTCCACCACGGCCGCCGGGGAGAGAGCGCCCAACATGCCCACCGATGCGCTGCAGACAGGTAGCATGGTGAAGCCGGTCAGCCCGGCCGGCACCTTCACCTCGGCGGTGCCCCTGCGCATCCTCAACAAGGGCCCCGACTACTTCCGCAGGCAGGCTGAGCCCAACCCCAAGAGGCTGAGCGCCGTGGAGCGGTTGGAGGCCGACAAGGCCAAGTACGTCAAGAGCCAGGAGGTGATCAATGCCAAGCAGGAGCCCGTGAAGCCGGCCGTGCTGGCCAAGCCCCCCGTGTGCCCAACAGCTAAGCGCTCGCTGGGCAGCCCTACCCTCCGCGTGCTGGGTACCAGCGCCAAGACGGAGAGCGGCGTGCAGAGGGAGAACCTGAAGCTCGAGATCCTGAAGAACATCATCAACAGCTCCGAAGGCTCCAGCTCCGGCTCGGGCCACAAGCATGGCCCCCGAAACTGGCCGCCTCACCGTGCCGATGCCATGGACCTGCACCGCCACTCCTTCGCGGAGTCCCTGAAGGTCTACCCTACCCATGGCCAGGGCAGCGCGCAGGATGGCAGCACTCACGGAGGCCGGCGGCTCCTGGAGCAGTCGGCCGAGTCCTTCCTGCATGTGTCTCACAGCTCCTCAGACATCCGCAAGGTGACCAGCGCCAAGCCTCTGAAAGCAATCCCCTGCAGCAGCTCCGCGCCTCCCCTGCCCCCCAAGCCCAAGATCGCCGCCCTGGCCGCCACCAAGTCTCCGGAAGGTGATGCCGTGGAGCCCACCTGCGGCGTCAGCAGGAGACCCTCCCTCCAGCGCTCCAAGTCAGACTTGAGTGACAGGTACTTCCGCGTGGACGCCGACGTGGAGCGGTTCTTCAACTACTGTGGCCTGGACCCCGAGGAGCTGGAAAACCTGGGCATGGAAAACTTTGCAAGGGCTAACTCAGACATCATCTCCCTCAACTTCCGCAGCGCCAGCATGATCAGCTCAGACTGTGAACAGTCTCAGGACAGCAACAGTGACCTTAGAAATGACGACAGTGCCAATGACCGGGTGCCCTACGGAATATCCGCCATCGAGAGAAACGCGCGAATCATCAAGTGGTTGTACAGCATCAAACAGGCGCGCGAGTCGCAGAAAGTGTCCCATGTGTGAGGACGCGCCGAGGCCGAGGGCGGGAGGCGGGCGGGCAGGCTCTGCATCCTCAGTTGTGAAGGTCGTGAGGTCCCCTGCAGTCTTGTGAGCTTCTCCTCGCTCTTTGTGTTGCTTGTGCAGTTTCCGAGTTGCATGCCTGTCAACAGGAGGATGACCTGGCTTCCCCTGGAACCCCCTACAGATCCTGGCTGCGCGCACACACTTCTCATCTACCAAAAGTTCCAGACTAGACCAGAATCGAATTAGGGCTTGTTCTTGAGCAAAACTGTTTACACGAAAATGGTATACAACTTCTTCAATATTTATGTGGTTCTTGTGTTTTTATATCCTGCGCTCTTGTGTCTTAATTAAAAGTTTTATCAACTAGCTTTTTAAGTTGAGAGTAGAATATTTTTGAAATTTAAAAAAAAAAGCGCCAATTTGCCTACATAGGAGACCGTAACCATGGGAACATAATGAGATCTACTATTAAAAAGAGACCAGCTGGCCCAGAATAGAAGTAGGCCGGGTTTCCTTCTGAGGCAGGGTTCAGAGGCCTCACCTCAAGTGGTGAGCTTGATGTTAATCGTTCACCTATTGAAATTCTTTTGCCACTTACTGAGGTAGGTGGTAGGGCAGCAATGCTAAGTTTTGTGTCTGACTCCATGTAAATGCTGATGGTTCTGCATAAAACTGATCTCAGTGAAACATGAGCCTGTAACCATGGAGGATGACTTGGAAGTTGGGTGTTGGGGGTTTTGGTGATACTGTTTGTTTGGGGATAATTTTGAAGTTTCTACTATTAATCTTTAGACAGGAATGACTGTCCTAAAGCTGATACTGAATGCCTTTAATTTTTAAAACAAAGTGTTCTCTTTTATTCTTTTTTCTTTCTTCTTCCTTTGGTCAAGAACTGCTCAGTCTGTTATGTTTCTTCCTCTCTAGTTCCCTTCTCCCTTTCCTCCTTCCCCTCACCCTCCTTTCCTTCTGTGCTTTACTTGGGAGAAGTAATAGAGCTTGTTCATTTGTTGGGTTTTTTTGGAGACATGAGCAAAAATGGAATTACACAGCCATATAAATATAAAGCCTCCTCTTCGAACGTTAATCCATTTGGTCGCTGAGCCCTGTTTGAGCACCTTGCTTGCATTGTCTTGCATATGCTGTTCCTTCAAGCTGTGGGCTTCCTTGGCGGCTATAGGAAACTAGCAGCACAGCACCCTATGGCTTTTTCTCCCTCCTGGTCTCCAGTGCTGCCTACCAATGGGTTCTTTTTCTTTTCAGTCGCCTGCCCTCAAGGGTAGCTAGCCGACGACGACTGGGAGCCATGGTTGGGTAGCAGCAAGGTCACTGCTCAGCAGTCTGCTCTGTCATTGTCACAGTCTCTCTGCGAAGTACCCAGCAGCGGTACTCCAGATGCCATCAACTCACAGGAAACTTTTCATGGTGTAAATTCTGTAAGACTTTGTACATATTTCAGTTGTTATGAAATCTTTTAAAAAAAAAAGTTTCGCTAATAAATAGCTCTGCAAAGTCAATAGTGGTGGTGGTCTCTCTATCTCTCTCACTCTCTGTTTTTCTCTTCTCCTGCCACAAAAATTTTACTTTGGACCATGAGTCCGACCTAGACTTTTGATAACCTTGGGAAAACAATATTTCATTAGGGTATTTTCACCATTGCCTGGTTATTTTGAACAGCAGCATTCTTAAAGCTAAAGCAATGTGGTTTTGCTAAAAGAATTCCACCAACGCTCCCAAAATATGCTGTTGGTTTTTACTTCGTTCACACTGACTTGGGTTATTTTTGTCTTTTTTTTTTTAACATCAAGATTTTTCACATCTTCTACAAGCTTCTTCAATTGTAAATATTTATGAGCTCTTGCTGAAGAGAATGGCCTTGAAATAAATAGCCTTGCTTTTATTTGTGCATGCCTAGCATCGTCAACATGACGTGTTCATCCATTCATCCACCCATTCATTCATTTTACTTATTCAACATATTATTTGCTGGGTTGCTCCTTTGTTCAGATGTCGTGTTAGGCACTGACCTCAACAACATGGTCTTTGCCTTAAGAAATTTAAATTTTCACTTCCATTTGCAAGATAAATATTTTTTTCTCTTGTTGTTGTTGGATACTATTGAGTCACTTAAAACTCATAGTGACCCTGTGAACCACATATCTGAGCCTGCCCTGTCTCGTGCCTCAGTCTCTCTCTCATATGCTGGAATACATTGCCACAGTCACTGTGCCAACCCATCTTGTTGATGGGCTTTCTTGGTGTTGCTTAGCCACCTCCTTTCCCAGAATGATGTCTTTTTCCAAGATCTGGCCCCTTCTGGCCACATACCAGTTAGCCCTGTTGCTTTCCTTTTAGCATCCTGTTATCATCACTGGGTATTTTACACATGCATTTATTTATTCATTGACTCGGGTTATTTTAAAAGGAACATTTCCTTTAAAAAACCCATATAATGTGCAAATGTAAAAGAAAATCATGTTTGGAAAGTAACTTTCAGAAACAAATCATATGACTGCCACTGATGTTTATCAACCTTTTCCTTCTGTAAAGCAGGTTTAGTTCCATGACTCACTCCCCAGGACTTCTTGGTTCACTAAATAAATTTTGGTTGAACCTTGCTTTACAGAAGAAACATGGAAGAATGTAACTATGAGCAGCAGTGATAAATAACGCATGAGAGACTAAAAGTATACTTTTTCCCACCACTGTGTACAAATGTGACCATTTAAAACACACCCCTGAACAATTACATATCCAGCTCTTCCTGGGTTTTTAATAGATGCAGTTTTCCTAAGGAAATGTAATATTGCTGCCTGTGCTATTTCAGTCATTGATTGTGTTTGGATCTTCCAGCATTTCAATACTATGTCTAATATGTATTCAGACAGGGCTATAAATCATTCCAGTATAATTCAGTCTCATCTTCCCTGGACTTATTTATACAGTGAATGAATGTGAGGCTCTTCGTTCCTGTGATAGGTGGGAACTCATTATTTTCTCTATGTGTTTGAATTTCCAGTTCCATTTTGCAAAAGGACAATTTCTGAAGCTTAATTTTAAATCCTAAGAGTAAGACATTCCTTGATAATAAAGTGCTTTTTTCTTAGTCCTCCATTTACTAGGTCATGAAAGTGTGTGTGTGTGTGTGTGTGTGTAGAGAGAGATGGCAATGTTAATATGGAGTTGCCATACTTTTTTTCTCTACATAATGCAGAATAAAACATGATTGTGCTGGGTAATTCTACCAACAAGGTTTTTGTTTTGTGTTTTGTTGTTGTGTTTGGTTTTTTCCTGAAAAGTATCCTTTAAGACACTCCTCCCTTATCGTTATCTTCTGCCAGTGCCTTAGGTCTGGCACTCATCTCCATGGTCCTCGAACTTCCCAACTGAAGGCTCCCCTCCCATCTAGTTCATTAATGCTGGAGAAATGATAAGCAACTCTGAGCTTGTCCCTTCCATCCTATGTCTTAAATAGGTTTCCAATCAGATAAATTCACTTTTTAACAAAGAACTGTGACATCTATATTTCAGACCATATCTCTTTACCTCCTCCAGCTACACAACCCACAATCAGAAACTTCAACCAAAGGAAATGTCCATTGGGAATTTTCACCACTCTTAGTTATCTATGGCAGCATTATCCCAAATTACCACAAAACTCAGTAACATAAAACAGGAAGCATTTATTACCCCTTGGTTCTGTGATTGGAGTCTTTGTTGTGTGCTGTCGATTCACCTGCAATCCACAGACACCCTACGTATAGTAGCTCTGAACTCTGTTCTATCCTGAGCCAATTTCACTGTCTCTGACACACCTACCTCCATTACTCCAGTTACTGTGTCAGTCCATCTCATCCAAAGTCTTCCTCTCCTGCACTGTCCCTCCACCTTTCTGAGAATGCTAACCCTCTCCAGGGTCTAGTCCCTCCTGGCAATATGCCCGAAGTCTTTGAGACAGAGCTTCAAAATCCTTGCCTCCAAAGGGCAGCCTGGTTTCACCCTCTCATGGTGTATTCACTACTCAAGCACCACAAGTCAGAGGCATCAGTTTTTCTATCTGGTCATTATCCAACTCTGATAATAGCAAGTAATTGGGAAGACCATGGCCTGAATCAGGCACACCTTAGATTCCAGACTGACATCATCCTACAATAACTTAACTAGGTAAGTTATGGTTCAGTCCTTGAAGTTGCAGACAAGCTGTTGAGTGGGTCACATGTGAAGGCTTGTGAGGATGGATAGATGACCTGCTTATAAATATGCATACACCGTGGGGAAGGATCATCAGTTCCTCCTGGCTGTTGATAGGAGACCTTCATTCCTGACAACATGGACTTGTCCCTAAGGGCTGCTTGAGATTCCTCACAGTGGCAGCCAGCTTCCCCCAGGGGAAGTGAGCAGGCAAGACCAGAGTCACTTAGGATCCAGTCTCCTAAGTCACATACCTCCACCACACTTAGTTCATTATAAGGAAATCCTAAATTACAGCTCACATTCAAGAGGACTTAGATACCATCTTTTAAAAAAGAAAATGAGTGGACATAATTTAAAATTCCAATGTCCTGTGAGGAATGTGTCCTTCATCCTTAATCTTGCAGAACTTCTTTCAAGATTCCCTAAAATGTCAACCAGTAAAATTTGTCCATATTTCTGGTTCTTTTTCCCGCTGAATTGCAGATTTTCTCATGGCCACAAACCTAACATTTGCTAACCCAGAAGATGCCTTTCTATGAATTTTTAGAAGGCTCATCTTCCTCAAGTACTTTCTTTTCACCAGATAAAAATTGTCCTGGTAAATATATACTCAAAATCTCAAATGATTTTGAGTTAAACCCCAGCACCAGAGCTGCACGTTGTATAGCCATGAACAACAGCCCAGGGTACATACACCATGTTGTTAAGTGCCGTTGACTCATAGATAACTCAGCAACCCTATGAACAAAAGACCTGAGTACTTGTATAACTTTCTTCATTTCTTCACATTCATAGAGTTTCTGGAGGCA